GGAGGGGGAGGGGGAGGAAGGGGAGAAGGAGAAAAGAGAAAGAAACCCAATTTTAAAATATTCCAAACACCTTAGCATAGACCTAACCAAAGAAAATATACACTTGGCAAATAACACATGGAAAGATGCTCCACATCATGTGTCATCAGGGAACTGCAAATTTAAACAACAAAGAATTACCTCCACGCGCCTGATAGAATGGCCATAAATCAGAACACTGACACCAAGTGCTATCAAGGCTGTGGAGGAACAGGATCGCTCACTCATTGCTGGTGGGGATGCAAAATGGCACAGCCACTCTGGAACACAGTTTGGTGGTTTCTTACAAAACTAGACATGCTCTTAACCAATGATCTAGCAATCATGTTCCTTGGTATTTACCCAAAGGTGTTGAAAATTATGTCCACCCAAAAGCCTGCACAAGGATGTTTGTAGTAGCTTTAGTCACAATTGCCAAAATTGGAAGCAACCAAAATATCCTTCAGTGGGTGAATGGATAAACTGTGGTACATCTAGGCAATGGAATAACTCAATGCTAAAAAAGAAGTGAGCTATCGAGCCATAAAAAGACATGGAGAAATCTTCAGTGCATGTGAGTAAGTAAAAGAAGCTGTTCTTAAGAGTCTACCTACTGCATGATTGCAAGTATATGACCTGGAAAAGGTAAAAGTATGGAGACAATAAAAAGACCAAAGGTTGCCAGGTATTAGGGGAAGAGAGTTGAGTAGGCAGAGCAAAGGATTTTTAGGGCAGTGAAACTACTATCTGATGTTATAATAGTGGGTTCATCTTGGTATAAATGTGTCCAGGCTCCTAGAAATTACAGCACCAAGAGTGAACCCTAATGTACACTCTGACCTCTGGGTGATGTGTTTTTAGTGTAGGTTCATCAATTGTAGCAAATGTAACAGCACTGTGGTGAGGAATGTTAATAATGGGGAGTTTATGTATGTGTGAGAGCCAGGGAGCATATAGGAAATACATATTTATATATGTACTTATTATACACACACACACTTTTGACTAGTGAGTGAGTGTGTGTGTATAATAAACACATACATAAATATGTAATACAGACTCTATCCCCATCTCTTATAAAAGCATAATAGGTTTCAAAATTTTTATTTACGTCATTCCTCACCTGTAAAGTGAAGCTAATAACCGCAAGTGCCTTTAAGGACCGCGGGAAGGACCAAATGCGTTAAGTTTGGAGGACGGTGCCTGGCGCGCACGAAGTGCCACCGAAGAGTTAGCTACTGTACTTAGTGATGACAGGGACACTTTGTGCTGCTGGGAGAGAAAGCTCCAGCACCGAATTGGCAATAGGACTGACGTAAATGTGTAATTGCTCTGGAAAGTCACATCACTGCACAAATAAAATGCAAAACCAAAATTATAATTGGGTAGTAGCTGCCACATCAGTGTTTGTATGTTGAAACGCCCACTGGAAGGTTGTGCCAGTTAGTGTAAACTAAGCAGTAAAATAGTGTTTTGGAATCATTTTATACAAAAATAGTACAATACTTTTCCATTAAAGTTCTAGATTTCACTGCAAAAAAAAAATAATAATAAGAACAAGCTAATAGAGATTAAATCCAAACAATACATCATGTGGTGATATGTCACACAATTTCTCAGTCATTTTCTGGTGAGACTTCTTCATTTAATTTCAAAATTCTGAACAGATGACGTGCTCTTATCTTTGAGAAGGTGGAAGAAAAGAGAGGTGTGAC